CAAACAAACCATTGGGAGTTGACGGTCACACACTAGGGATCAATCTTACAGGTAGCACAAATGCTTACTTGGTTTGCTGGCACCACATGTGTCCGGCCGTTCACATTTGTGCCAAGTTGCGTTTCACTTTCCCGATCACTGTCCGATTGCATGCTGGCATACGGCTCGTCATAATCATTTGGATTAGCCTGATTGGGGTGATCGGCGGACAACACATTGATTGCCCCGGACCGACTGGATTTACTCGTATGACCCGATCCATTCTCCGAGGGGCGATGAAATCCAGGGTTCTGATGCAATGTATAGTACGGGATTGCATTGTTCGAACTGGACGAATGATAGGCGTACATGTTAGACGACGCCGAAACCTCGGTGACCGGGGGCTTTACCGATCCGTCCGGTGGAAACAGACTGGCCAGACAGTTGGTCGTAGCTCGTGCTTCCCCGTGTGCCCGGTGCTTGCTGGGTAGGGTAGCATGCTGTCGGTCAGTTTGGTCCGTGACGGATCCCACGGCCGATGCATCGTTTTTGGTGTATCGAGTCAAACTGCGAGTTGTCCCGATTGTTCCGTCCTCGGTGGAGTCCATGCGTTTGGATAAATCATCCAAAATACACGGGAGCGGAGTCAAGGGTTCCGGAAGAGCAGGAATCGATGATGGATATGCAGGGGCCTGGAACGAAGTGACGTTGAGAGAAAAATCCGTTTACAAATCTCAATGCCTCTGGTACAACAACAAAAACAGTGGATCACAGAAAAGGATTGCTTGATCAAGTTCAAATCATCACATACCATCGGTTCGCAAACAAGCGTCATACCAACGCAACAACACAATGGTGAGATTGGGGTACAGAAGCGAACCACGTGGAAAAATCCAAAAGGACAAGAATAACAACGTTATCTGTTGGTTTCACCATCCACCCTTGGACCTTTTATTCTGTGTTAGTTCATCGTTTTTATGGGACGCAGGGTTTAAACAGGCAAACCGTACAGCATTCGCGCATCTGACTTCTGGTTTGGGTTATATCTCTCGGCGTCTCGAACCAAAGACAATTTTCACCCCTTTGGCCCCAACCTGGGAAGTAGGCTGCTGCACAGACCGAAGGCAATACTGAAACTAACTTCTTCATATCCTTACTCCAGGTCATGGTTTGACCGCCGCGGTGCCTCTTCCAGTTTCACCAAAAACAAACACTCAGCGCATGGAAATTTAGACGGTGAGTAGGCATACGCAAAGCATGCTCAAGCCATCGGGGGTGTAGAGCGATTACTTCATTTAGAGAATGACCATCAGCACCCAACACAAGATGTGGACCTTGTTATTGCTCACTCAATGTTCCCTATCAGTGATGAAATACAAATAATTGATTATCATTCTTAACA